CTATTCCCGCCAGTGGCTCTGCAATGATGTCGGCCAGTGCCTTCAGCACCCTCGGATGGAGCTCATCCGGGCCTGCCAACTTAAAGGCATCCAGTTCTTCCAAGTGCCTCTGCACCATCTCAGGGTCTACGCATGGAAGCCTGGCACCTTGCTGCTGCCTCTCTACAACCCCAGTGAGAGACTTGTCGCACCCCTCGCTTAGGAACACTGAGGCAAAGAACTCGTTGAGGAGTTCAGCCTTGTCCCCCCTGTCCGTCACCAATTGCTTCTGCCCATTTAGCAGGGGTCCTATTCCACCCTGGGCCTTCCTTGTACTCCCTATTTATCTAAAAAACAATTTCTTGTTGTCCTTTACTTGGGATGCCATCCTCAGCTCCATGGTAGCTTTGGCCCGTCTAACTGCCTCCCTACAAGCGCAACTGCCTCCCTACAAGCGCGTTTTTATTCAAGCAACTATAGTAATAAAGTTAAATTTATTATGTCTTTACAATGGAATGAATTTCTTGCCTCTTGCATAATTTCTGGACCACCACAGCTACAACATCACTCTTATACTACCATTTAGAATGGAAATAATATATAACAGTTCTTAATTAGCAATAGAATCATAGAAAATTAGGGTTTGAAGGAACCTCAGGAGGTCATCTAGTCCAACCCCTTGCTCAAAGCAGGACCATCTACAACTATATCATCCCAGCCAGGGCTTTGTCTAGCCACGTCTTATAAACCTCCAAGGATGGAGACTCTACAACCTCTCTGGGTACCCTGTTCTAGTGCTCTACCAACCTCATGAGAGTTTTTCCTTATATCTAACCTAAATTTCCCTTGCTGCAACTCGAAACCATTGCTTCTTGTTCTGTCATCTGCTAGGGGTGGGCAGTTATTTCGGGCAGAGGGCTGCTTCCTGAGTTTGGCAAGCCATCGAGGGCTGCATGACAGGCAGCCAGGGGCAGATAAATATTAATTTTCTAAACTTTTTAGGGGCCCTGCAGGCCGGATAGAATGGCCTGGTGGGCCGCATTTTGTTCACCCCGGTCTAGCTCCATCCTCTTTGTAGCCACCTTTCAGGTAGTTGGAGGCTGCTATTAAATGCCCCCATCCCTCTCCTCAGTCTTTCTTCTCCAAACGAAATAAGCTCAGTTTCCTCAGCCTCTCCTTAGAAGTCATGTGCCTCAGCCCCTGAACCATTTCCATTGCCCTCCACTGGACTCTCCAATTTTTCCACATCCTTTCTGTAATGGGGGGGTGGGGCGCAAAATTGAACACAGTACTCTAGATGTGGCCTCACCAGGGCTGAATAGAGGGGAATAACCACTTCCCTTGACCTACTGGCAATACTCTTACTAATGCAGCCCAGTATGCCATTAGCCTTCTTCACAACAAGGGCACACTGCTGGTTCATATTCAGCTTATGGTCCACTGTAACCCCCACATACTTTGTGCAGAGCTGCCACTTAGCCATTTGGTCCCCAGCCTGTACTGGTGAATAGCATTGTTCCATCCTAAGTGCATTACTTTGCACTTGTCCTAACTGAACTTTATGAGATTTCTTTTGGTCCAATCCTCCAATTTGTCTAGATTTCTCTGAATCCTAGTCCTACCCTCCAGCATATCCACTACTCCCCCCAGCTGGGTGTCATCTGCAAACTTGCTGAGGGTGCACTGTATGCCATCATCCAGATTATTGATGAAGATATTGAACAAAACCAGCCCCAGGACCAACCCCTGGGGCACTCTACTTGATACTGGCTGCCAACTAGACATTGAGCCATTGATTACCAGGGATCCTGATTTTCTCTGATTTAAAAAACCTGCCAGTTTTCAGATTAAAAAAAGTAACCCCAAATCCAAATTTTTCCGTGATTAAAATGAAACGCTGCTTTGTGTGAGGTAAGAGCTGCTCCCAGGGCTGCTGCAGCAGGGAGCAAAGTGCAGCATGCAGTGGCAGTCGCCTTCACCCCACACACAGATTAGGGCCTCCTGGGGTGAGGAGACACAGGCAGGAGCTGGGGCTGGGGTGAGTGGGTCCCCTGGGCCTCCACTTATTCCACCACCCAGCCCGGCTGGGGACCCACTCACCCCAGCCCCAGCTCCTGCCTGTGTCCCACTCTCCCTCACCACTGGGGCCTCAATTTTTCCCTCTTGCCCATGGCCCTTTCCCCTCCCCTTGTCCTTCCCCCACAGACTTATCTGCTGGGTGGGGAGGAGTTGCCTATGCTGATCTTATAAGAGTGAATTTACCTTGCATATAATGAATTTTGGGTATAAAAAGGATGGTCTCATAAGAGCGAATTTGCATATACAGAACCTGCATAAAGCGAGGGAAACCTGTGTTCAGTAGACTTGCTAATGCATTAGTAATCAATTGCTAATGTCCTCTGTGTGAAAGGCAGTGATATCTCTCTCTCACAGCTGAGGAACTGGGCAACAGGTCAGAAAACTGGGTTATTGAAACTAAGTTTTGTAACTCAGATGTAGCACCTAAGTAAGTGTCCAGTTTATCAGAGGTGCTGATCCTACACATTTGTCATTTGAAGTCAATCATAAATGTACTGTTGTTGCTTCCCAGTTTCTTCTTATCTTGTAGGAGACCTGGGTGGATATGGGGAAGGATACCATTCTTGGCTAGGAGCTGACTGGGTTCAGATAGCTCCAGTCCTTACTGTTCTTTCCGGCACTGCTGTAGTGCATCAGGAGGAGGCAGTGGAACAGCAAAAGCAGCTTACTGCTCTTCTGTGATGCAGTATGGGATGCTTCTGAGCAGCTGTAGCAGAGAAGAAACAGTTCGCAATTTAGATGCTCAGGGGGCCACAGGGGAAATGAGGATGGCTAGTTCCTTGAATGTCACCTTGCAGCAACAGGGCTGAGATAAACACTTCAGTTTAAAAATTGTAGGGCTGGTCAAGGAGCACATTTTAATCAGCTACCAATTTATTTTCTCTTAATGCAGACGTCTTCAAGAGCTCATAACACTTGCCCGTGTAACATAACTAGGGTTGTCTTCATCTTCTGCTTTAAAAAAATAAAAAATAAAAGCAGGAAAAAACGGTACCGGTATGTCTCCCTGGCTACATGTCTACTGGAGAAAACGTTCTGCCTGTGAAAATATTGAGCTGTAGAGCCTGCCTTTGGCTTGGAGATCTATTAGTTATCACATTATAATGACTAAAACTTCTGTGTAAGGGATTAACAAAAATAGCATGGATACCATGGAGATGACTCTTGCTGTACATTATGCCCTGGCCTTTTAAAAAATGTTTCTTGTTTGTAGGAAAGAAATATAAACTCCTCTTTCACTTTTAACAAGTATATTATGGAATTATTTTTTTTAAACGTAGCATTCTGTGGTTGTTACCCGAGTTCCCATAATGAGAAGCTACTGGTTGTGTAACAGAATAGGGTCTTGCAGAGAGAAGAATGAGTTTCTTTTTTTGCTCAGCTACATAGTATTGACAAAATGTAACCATTTTTGTCCTTAGGAGAAGAGCGGGCTCTTTGTCTTATTGATGTAAAGAAAGTAAAGCAGTCTCTAGCCCAGTCTCACCTCCCCGCCCAGCCTGATATCTCACCAAACATCTTTGAGGCTGTCAAAGGGTGTCACCTTTTTGCTGCTGGCAAGGTAGGATATAGTTCCTTAATGCCCTGCTCTGTACTTCAGCCGCTCCATATGATCCCAGGCACAATGAGATATGGAAGAAATATGCAAGTCAACAACTTTATTCTCTATCGTAATTTGTGAGTCCAAGTTCTGTGTTCCTGCTTTAATTATTTTTCTCCAAGCTAAGAGAGGAAGAGAATAGGGTGGGGACAGGATTTGAAGAAAGAACCCCAAATATAAACAGGCAACTGAGGGACATTATACCATGTCCTGTTACATAATAAGGATGTGAGATAAACATAGCATAACTATAGATAACTGATTTCCATTTTTAGACTCTTATGATTAATGAAGTTTTATTTTCATTCTTGAACAGTGTAGTTCTTTCCAAGGTAGACAGTTTATTCATGCAGTTGTACCATTTATCAGTGTCCAGCATGTGTGCCAATTTCCAGTTTCAATGTGGAATTTTGGCCACTACAAAAATTTCTTAGCAGAAACTGTCTATGCAGATGACTCAGTCCTTGGGAAAGCTGAACATCTTTCAGTTTAAAGCATCGTTTAAGATACAGATTCAAGGGGTTAATCTAGTCATGTTGGATCTAGTTGTAACTTGTTTGGATTCATTATCCCTCTTAATGAAAACTCCTTTCTATTAAAAGCTTCCAGTTCTTTTAATACATTTGCCTTAGATATACAAAAAATCATAGAAGCAGTTTAGATACTTTCTCTCCTTTGAGAATGTAAAGAGCCTTTTCACTAATCTGCAATTATTCTTTGCTATCCTATTATGAATATACCTGCTCATCTTCACAAATTGCTCTTTAGTGAGAGGTAAACTGCACTCTCTTACGTATTCAGAATTGGAATGACACAGTATTTCTAATCTTCCCTACAGATTGAGAATGGACTCTGCATTTGTGCAGCCATGCCCAACAAAGTGGTCATTCTGCGCTATAACGAGAGCCTGAGCAAGTTCTGCATTAGGAAGGTAGGTCTGGTTTCTCTGTTGGTAGTGTATTCGCAACAGTCCCATGTAAGGCTTTAGCAGCTAAAGCCTGTAGAATCCATATGGACTGCGCTTGCCAGCTAAACTTGTGGGAAGCTTTTACTGTGTCCTAGCTAAAATCAGAACAGACAGGAATTTCCTGTAACAAGAGTTAGCAAATGGGGAAGGAAGCAGAGCAGAACTGTAGTTCTGCCATATGGGCCTATCTAAGCTTGGCCTTGTCCATCTCCCCAAAGCATTGCTCTCCTCATAAACATTTGGGAATGTTCCCTGGCCCTCTTAGTTGACTTCCATGAAATCAGGAGGATTTGTTTTTAACCTTCTTTCCTTAAAAATGTTAACGGAGTAACTCATTTGAAGAAGCAACAAATACTCTGAACTGTTCTTTTTGCAATGAAAACACATATGCATCAAAGGTTAAAATAACTGATTATATCTCTCGCCACCTATACTAGCCCTGATGTATGTATTTGGTTCCTCTCAGCCAACAATGTGAGACAGTAAGACAGATTTCTTTGTGTATTTGTCAGTGCAGATCCCATTATTAATGTGTATGCACAAGACCTGAATTTTTTTAGTACTTGTGTCCAAGAAGGTTGTGTGTGTTCCCTGGGCTACCCTGCCTCCCATGTAAGAAGGGTATAAAAGAGCATAGCAGTCATGATTCTTCCTCTTACTGCCTCTTACAATTTTAGAGTCCATGACTGAGACAAACCTATAAGTATCTATTGTGGTATTTTGTTCAAAGATCCTAAGTGGTTGTTTTCCAGCCAGTGTTTGTGAAGACATTTTATTTCTTCACACTCATCTACAGGACTTTCTGTAATGGATTGGGAATCACTTTTTGGGGCAGAATCCAAACCTCAGGATTTAAACCCTACCTATCCTATGACAGAATGATCCCTAAAAGGGACAGCTATAGCCAGAATCTCCTCTGAAAATCCTTTCCCTGCTGGACCCACAAGGCTAGGGTGGCTCAGTTTGTTACATCTTCTAGAGCAGTCCTACCACATAATTTTGGGTCCATAGATGATGTGTACGAGGAAAGGGAGGCTGAGCAGCCCAGTATCAGCTAGCATTTAGAGTATGTCACACTATAGGATTGAGCAATGGAAAGAAGGCAGAACTTGTGATGTTGACATTACTTCCCTCAAAGGCAGTGAACTCCTCAGTAAGGAAGGTCTTGATGCTGATGACTCCAGCACCAGTACCAGCTTCCTTACTGCCAGTACCTCTGTCAACTCAGGAGCAGGATACCAAACTCCATAAGAAATGCATGATTCACAATGGAGCCTGTCCATTATTAGAACATGCACTGCCATTCAAACTCTCCACAGCACCAAAGGTCTCCACAAGTATGGATTCATAGCAGGGCTGCTTTTCAGGAGGAGGGACATCCACCTATGCTTATCTAAATGGTTAAGGGCAGATTTCTAAAAAGAGATGACAGCAACCGTTTCCGTGTTCTCTTGGTTCTCTTGCTAGGTTTCTTGGTGAACTAGGGAAAATGCCCTTTAAGCTATCACAGAGAGAGAGGTCATAGGAACCTTGCTTGATTCCAGGAACTGCAGACAGATTTCTGTCAATGCAATTACTAGTGCTCCGGTTAGAATCAAACCCAACCACAGTGGTAGGGACATGGCTGGGACGCCTCCACGACCGGTTAAGACAGGTTAATATAAAAACATATGATGCCCATGTATCTGTGACTGCTTCAGCATATTAAAAAAATAATATAAAAACATATGACTCTGTGACTGCTCCAGCTCTGACTCAGGCGAGTCTATTCCGTAATGAAACACCAGATAAGTGAGGTAATAAAGTAAGATTTGGTTAATCAGTTGCCTGGCTTAACTGATCTCTATGTTCTTATAGTTGGTATACTGAATCTTCACTAGTATCATACTGATTTATACACACAATACTTGGCTAATGGATCATCTGCTAAAGTGTAGTCATTTCTAAATGTATATGCTTATTAAATCACAGTGGAAATTTGCTTCTGATAATTAGTCACCTTTAAAAGTACTGACTTATATTTTCCATAGCACCTGTCAAGCCAGCTGATAGTTTGCGAAGCAGTGGATACTCTTCAGCCTTTCTTGGCTCAGCAAGATGTAGATGATTAATTGTCCCGTTGTGTAGAATTATCATTTGTTTTGGCAATGATTACATGTAAGGGAGTGAAGCAAAAAATCTGTTGTTCTATTCCATCATAATCTTCACTTTGAATTTTTGTGCTACAAAATTGTACTTTAAGCATCTATATGTATAAGCATCCAATTCTCATATAGCAAAATATGTTCAGTTTACATCCAGCATTTTTAATATATTTTTTCCTCATTATAAATATAAAAAATACTCTATTCCAAGTCTTGATGTGATATGCAAAATATATATTACAAAGGGCTAAAATGGGTAATTTACCAGGGATCCTGGTTTTCTCTGTTTAAAAACTGCAAATTCTCTGATTTTAAAAACGCTAAAATCCATGATTAAAATTAAACACTACACACACACTCTCTCTCTCTCACTCTCTCTCTCTCTCTCTCTCTCTCTCTCTCTCTCTCTCTCGGTATCAATTGAATACAATGTTTTATTGATACAGTTACAATTTTAAAGTAATTTGGTAGCCTACCAGCGCCCCAATTACTATAGTTAAATAAATTCTAAATACCTATAAATTTTGGGTTTCTTATCATGGAAAATCAGAGCTGTCCCTGCCCCCTTCACTCACCAGGATGTGGGTCCAACTGTGGCTTCTCTTCCTCCCCACCCCCCAACTGCCTTGTGGCACTGAGCAGCCCTGATATGCCAGTGCCCTGGCCATGCCATTGCCCTCACCGCCCCACCCACAGCCCCGCAACTTCCTCAGCCCTGCCAGAGGGGGGTCCCAAGCTGCCACAGCTATGGGGCCAGGGACCTCGGTTCGCAACCCCCTGCCCTCCACAGCAGTGCCCAAAAGCCGGATGCTCCCACAAGAGGTGGTGGCTGCTGTGGCCCCAGCAGGGAGCGGAGTGTGGAACCTGGTGCCCACTCCCTCACAGGTAGCATGGCTGGAGCAGAGCCATGGGGAATAGGGGTGCAGGCTGCCTGCTGCGGGCTCAGGCTCCCCGCCTTGCTGCCCTCCCCCAGGGGCCTCTGCAACCCAGTGGGTGGAACCCAGTGTGGCAGGGCAGAGTGGGGCGGGGGAGCTCAGTGCTCCTGCTGCAAGCCCTGCACTGCCATGGCGAGGTTTCCCCTGCCCGCCCAGTAGCAGTGGAGGTGGCGGCACAGGGTTGTGTTCCCTGCTCCTGCTGGGTGGGCAGGGGGTGCCTCATCATTGCAACATGGGGCCTGTGGTGGCAGCACTGAGCTTCCCTGCCGGGTCCTGCCCTGGAGGCCCTGCGGGGAGGGCAGTAGGGCAGGGAGCCCAAGCCCACAGTGGGCAGCCTGCACCCATCCCTGCCCCGTGCACAGATCTGGGGGCATGTGCCTCCCATGCCCCCCCGGGAGTGCGTGCAGTGGCAGGGAGCCAGCCCCCCCAGCCTCACAACAAACTGCCCGCAGCTCCATCCTGCTCCCTGCCTGGGCCTGGCAACCACACGCGGCCCAGGGCCCACACACCGCCCAGCCCTGCCCAGCTCCGTCCCTCCTTCACTCTGAGGGCCTCAGTCTCCCATCCCGTCTCCCCCCAAATTTACCTGCGGGAGTTGCTCTCCAGGCTGCCTGGTGGCCATGTGCATGTGTGTGTGTGTCCACGCACATGATGCCCCCTGCCTGACTGTCCTCCCCCCATTCCCTGCAGCCCCTTGCAGGCTGGAACTCTGCTAGCTTGCAAGGGGAAAGCCTCCTTAACTCACATTTTTCTCCTTTAAAGGAGAAAATCTGGACTTTTCTTCTTAAAAGAGAAATCCAGGTTTTTCTTCTTAAAATGAGAAAATCTGGGTTTTACTGCACTTTTCCATGGCAAGTGGAAAACCTGGATCCCTGGTAATTACTGATAATTAGTCATCATTACCAGTGCTCTTGAAGTGACAAATTAACCTTGATTTACAAGCAGTTTCCAGAATCAAGAGACAAAGCCAATATCGTTATTTTAGCTCCATAGTAGTCAAGATGACTTTGGCTGGTAAACCTACAGTCTCTAATCTAGCTCTCAAGCTACTCAGAAATAGTTTCATGGCACCCTGACCCAGGTACTCTATCCAGACACAAAGTCACTGTGGTGTCTGGATGGTCGAATACTGCAGAAAGGGACTTCTCCCTGCAGGTCCAGAAAATTCTGATACAGAGCAGAAAAGTATCTAGCAGGGGAACATACTTTTCTTAATGGAAGAGATTCTTAGGAACTCCAGCCAAAGATTTGCACCCACTCCAGGCCTCAGTACTGAAGATCCTCAACTAATTATTTCATTTATAACAAGCTCACCTATTGTTCATGTCTAGAAAGGGCCGCCTTACAGCAATCTGAGTTAACTGTCTTACGTGTACAGTTTTGTTCTGTCTTAACCACTGGCTAGAAAGTCTGTACCTGCTGGGACTTCATGATGCTCCTGATGGTCATGGAACCTCTTTTTGAACCTCTCTCAGAAGGCTTCTTTCAATACGTCACTCTGAAGACAGTTGTCTTAGTGGTTAAGCATCATCCAGGAGATGTGGTATACATCAACCACTTTGACTGACTCCCTTTCATTCATCCCTGCCTGTACAATAGCCTCTGACAGCCCAGTGGTGCTAATACTTGGCTTTAAATTTATGCTTATAGTGTTGTCAGAATTTCACCTCAACCAAAATACTTGCTTTATTCCTAATCCCTCACTTGACATGGAGAGAAAAGAATCTGCTTCTATTATATGCATCAAGAGGTTTATTCTGTTATCTTGATAGGATCACACCCTTCAGACTTTTCCTGATCTGGGTATTCTAGGGGTTAAGCCATCTCATTAAAAATAATATCAATACAGATAATGCACTAACTTTAATTGTGTTACCAGCTGGAT